TTCCGACTCTCACTTATGGTTACCGAATGAAGGATTCTGAATCATTTTCAAATACCAAATTTGAGTTTGTTAATCCCAGTTTGTCCCAGTGGAGTTGCCGTAGCTTCCAGTCGTAGAAACGCTGCAGTAAAGCTTCCATGTTTTCACATCTTTCTAATCTTTGCTTCATCGAACACTGAAAAATATATGTTTGCAAATAACAGCTGACTTTACTGTAACATAACTGTCTTTAACGACTTTGAAATGTTTAATTCGTGTGTGAATTTCTCGACAATCTTGATGCTAACTGGGTTAGCTTTTCTATGGTGTTACCAATGTTACACTAGCATCTGTGCTAATTGTTGCTCAGCAGCCTGAGATTATTAAGGAAGGTTTTCAGGGATGCACGATATTATCAGCATGGTATCGGCCGATATTAGCGTTAAAGTTCAATATCGGACATAGGTCATTCCATTAAAATAAGTGGCCGATATAAAAGGTGCTGTTTCTGCCTGCAGCGGCAGCACAACGCGATGACATCACGTGCGCCAACCTGATCTCACGGCGAAGAGGAAAATTCAAAATGTTGGCGGTGTGGAAGTTTTATTTTTTGTTGGTGAGGATGTCGGATTCCAAAGATTTATGGATTACGTTGAGCCTCGCTACATCGTCCGCAGTCGGAGATATTTTTCCGATGTAACGTTACGCAAGTTACAAGCCGTCATTTCTGACGTCACTGAGAAGCTAACAGTCGATAGCACGACTTGTTGAAACCTGGAACAAGCCTCCACAAGTGAGACAGCATCGCAGGTGACTAATGCTAATAAATAACATTTAACACTTTTCATTTAATATATAAGTTAAAGTGCTATGGATATGGCTGTTAGTGAATATATGTCACCAGCTCTTACGGCTGTTGCACAATTATTGTAGCAAATAAGCCTAAATAAAAGAGAGGGCTATGTTCTGACAAAGGAACATATATAAAATATCGGCCAAAAATCCAATATCGTGCATCCCTAAAGGTTTTTAGACATGGGTGGCGTGCACTCATTAGGCATGAAGAATATAAAGTTTGTTTTAAACGAAAGTCATTCAAGTTCCAGAATAAATAAAAAGCATAGCTTCTCGTTTTATTCTCGCACAGCATCTTGTCTAGTTGGTATATAAAATTCCCAAATAAGGTGTAAGGGTTTTACAGTTCATGTTGCTGCCAGTGTTAATTAGTGGTTTAAAGTTTGAATGTTTGGGAACTGATGGTTAAAGCGGTGGTCGTCACTTTGGGGTCCTGAAACGACTTTCCACAGCAAAACGACTGCTAACATGTTTGCCTGTAGTTGTGACAAAGTGCAGCTATAAACGGATCAAAATAGTCTGATTGTTGTCATTATGGTCTTGTTTAATTCACCTAACAGCTTTATCTGTCAACAAAGGATAGTCAGGGTCTCTGCTGTCAATCTGTGGGTCAGAAGCTGAGAAATTTGGCCCCCACTGGTTTAAAGGATTCTCACAGCTGAGCCATGAAGACCAGTAAAAACAAATCTCAAAGAAGCAAAACTCGCTCGCTATTTTTCCACATACTGATGAGTAATGCACCCTTAAATTAAAAAAATATATATATGTAGGCAAACTGTGCACCCAGACACCAACTACCTGTCTTTGTTTACCTCTGAGAAAAGGTAAACAAGAACTGAGTTATCAAAGGTGACGTCCACGGAGAACCATCGCCGATAAACGCTCAAACCGTCGTTTCAGCTCGGTCTTTACAGCACTTCACCACCTGCTTGATTCTGGCCCTCGAAGGCCACCGTCTTGCAGATCAGGGGTGTCTCTGCTTTGACACACAACAGCTTCTGCTCAACTGGTAGATCAGCTGAGGAGCAGGTAAACAACTAAAGCATGCACCAGGATTTGGCAACACTGACCTTCACAGAGTAGGTCAGCCCAATACGGGTCAACCACATGACCCAAGCTAAACGTGGTTTTTGTTGTTTAGCAGAGAGCTTTGTTTACACTGAGCGCGTGCCCACATTTCAGAACCTCACATGAACACGTCTGGAGAGCGGTTTCAAATAGTTTCTAAACGTTTCACCGTAATATAAACCAGTGTGGGGTGTTTTTCTGAGCGTGAGCACATTCTGCAGTAACAAGCATGGCTTTTCAAATCTGACACCTTATCACGATGCATGCTCAATAATCCAGGTAGAAACATCTAAAAGTTAAGCCAGGCCCTCTGGACAGATTCAACAACAACAACAAAAAAACTTCTTGGAACGTTTTGTCTTCAATCCAAAAGACTTCTTCAGTCTGAGGAGCTGCAATAATCTCAGTCTTATAAATAGCACCTTCTCATAGTGGATCAACCAGTTTGCTGCAGACAGCTAGAACTAGCCGTGCACACGATGAATGAGGACCATCAACCTAACGACCGATCGTTAGTGTCCTGATGGCCGCTTGCTATTCACAGGGGGCTGAGTGATAGAGGGTCAATTAGACACGGAGGTCTCCGCCCCATTTAATGATGGACGGGTTCCTCTTCACAAAGATGGCTTCCTTCACTCCTCTCTCAAACCAACGCTCCTCTCTATCAAGGACGTGCACATCTTCTCAAACAACAAACTCTGCAGGCCGGCGGTCACTCTTTCAGGGATGAACATGTGCACATCCATGATACAAAGGAACCTTGGTTTGAGAGCAGTGTTGCAAGTCGGCTTATTATAAGTGACTTTGGGCTTTTTTTTTTTCTAAAGTCGCTTGAAAATCTTGTGTGTTTTTTGGGCTTGTTTTGAACGTGAAGTTGCTTATTTGGACTTGACTCTCTTTGCGGAGTGAAACTTGCTGATTATCTCCCAGCTCCACACAATAAAGCAAAAGACGAGTGGCAGTAGGTAGTTTGTCCCTTACAAGCCACCGTTTCCTGTTCATCGTTCAGCCCAAGTTGGCGAGGCGACAGGCGCACACTCAAACATTCATACTGTGGCCGACCACACACATATATACATATATTAACATATACGTATACATATATATACATACACGTATACGTATATAAACGTATACAAACATATACATACATATATATACATATATTAACATATACGTATACATATATATACATACACGTATACGTATATAAACGTATACAAACATATACATATATATACATATACGTATACATATATTACCATATACGTATACATATATTAACATATACGTATACATATATTAACATATACGTATACATATACATACA